CCATAATGAGATACCACTTCACAGCAGTCAGAATGGCTAAAATTAAGTAAGGAAATGACAGATGCTGGCAAGGATGCGGAGAAAGGGGAGTGCTCCTACACTGTTGGTGGGAATGCAAGCTGGTGCAACCACTCTGGAAAACAGCATGGAGGTTCCTCAAAAAGTTGAAAATAGAGCTACCCTACAACCCAGCAATCACACTACTGGGTATTTACCCTAAAGATACAAATGTAGTGATCCGAAGGGGCACGTGCACCCTAATGTTTATAGCAGCAACGTCCACAATAGCCAAACTAGGGAAAGAACCTAGATGTCCATCAACAGATGAATGGATAAAGATGTGGGGTGTGTGTGTGTGTATGGAATACTATGCAGCCATCAAAATAAATGAAATCTTGCCATTTGCGACAACGTGGATGGAACCAGAGGGTATTATGCTGAGAGAAATAGTCAATCAGAGAAAGACAATTATCAAATTATCTCCCTGATATAAGGAATTTGAGAGGCAACATGGGGAGTTGGAGGAGTAGGGAAGGATAAAATGAAACAAGACTGGTTGGGAGGGAGACAAACCATAAGACACTCTTAAGCTCACAAAACAAACCGAGGGTTGCCGGGGGTAGGGGGTAGGGATAGGGTGGCTGGGTTATGGACATTGGGGAGGATATGTGCTATGGTGAGTGCTGTGAAGTAAGTCTGACGATTCAGACCTGTACCTCTGGGGCTAATAATACATTATATGTTTATAAAAAATTAAAAATTTAAAAAGAGAGAGAGAGGGAGAGGATGCTGAGTAAGTCAGCTGCCAGACTCTAGCTGCTGCACCTTCAGCATTCATGCCAAGTCCAGGTTCTCCCTGGGGGTGCTCCCAGCCAAGGACAGAACATGGAAGGGTACTAGAGCAGAGCCGTTCCCACCAAACGAGGGACTCCTCTCAGAGGCAATCTTTGCCCCGGGAATGCCATGGCTCCAGCTCAGGCTTTCCTGGAGCTGCACTGTAATCAGAGGCTCTGCCTACCCAACTCTTCCTTCCTTCCCTATCTCCTATTCACAGATGTCAATCTGAACCTCAGTCTGAAGATTCTCTCTACCTACTTTTGAACTCTCTCCCCTTAATCCTTCATAGGTGTTCTCCCTCAATAAATCTCTTCAATATCTACTTCCATCTTGGAATCTGCTTCTTAGAGGACCTGGACTAACAAGAAATGAATGAAAATGTCTCACATGTAGCTACATCTAACTACGATTTTTAGAACACCAATGATAAAAGAAAAAAAAACCCTAAAAATTTTTATAGGAAAAAATCAGGTTACCAACAAAGAGAACAGAATCAAATTCCCCTCAGACATCTCATCAGCAACAATGGATATTAAAAAACAATATATTGGGGGCACCTGGGTGGCTCAGTGGGTTAAAGCCTCTGCCTTCAGCTCAGATCATGATCCCAGAGTCCTGGGATCAAGCCCCACATTGGGCTCTCTGCTCATTGGCAAGCCTGCTTCCTCCTCTCTCTCAGACTGCCTCTCTGCCTACTTGTGATCTCTGTCAAATAAATAAATAAAATCTTTAAAAAAACAATATATTGGCATTAATTGTATTAAATTGATATTAAAAGCACAACATATTCGAAATTCTGACCTAGAATTTCATACCCATATAAACTAATACCAAAAAAGGGAATGGGGATGCCTGGGTGGCTCAGCTGGATAAGTGTCCAGCTCTTGATCTCAGCTGAGGTCTTGATCTCACAGTTGTAAGTTCAAGCCCCACGCTGGGCTCCATGCTCGTCATGAGACTACTTTAAAACAAGGGGGTGGGAGAGTAAAAGATTGGGATTTTAGGCATGGGGAGGATTCAGATTTTACATTCCCTAAATCCTTAAGGAAATAACTTGAGAGTGAACACCAATAAAACAAGACTTGAATTTTAAAAAACAAAAACAAAAAAACCCCAGCAAGATAGAAGCTCTATGAAACAACAGAGTAATCCCAAGAAATCAGGAAAAGTGCAGGCTCTGTTCATTGGGCTAGAAACCAGCCAGTCAGTTTGCAACGGGAATACAAAGAACTCCAAGACTAAAGTGTTTAAAAGAAAAAATAACAATATATCCAATAGAAAAGACATGAAGATTTTTTTCTTTTCAAGTAAGACATGATAATGGCAAATAACATTGGGAGGGGGGAGAAGTCACATTAGAAAAGTGGGAGGGAGAACTGTATACTTGGCCTAAGTATAAAGTTAAGCAAAATGTGTTATTATAATATTTTAGGCTATTAGTGGTAGGGGAAAGAGTGAGCTTAAAAAAAAAAATCATTGATTGACCTTGATATTTAAGAATATTCTCTTTAGGGGCATCTGGATGGCTCAGTTGCTTAAGTGTCTACCTTCAGCTTCATGATCCCGGGCTCTTGGGATAGAGACCCAGGTCAGACTCCCTGCTCAGTGGGGAGTCACTTCTCCCTCTCCCTCTGCCCCTCCCCCTGCTCATGCTCTCTCACTCCCATTCTCTCTCTCAAATAAATTTTTTAAATCTTTAAAAAAAAAAAAAAGAATATTCTCTTTAGAGTGATGCAGAAATTATGATACTGGGATTCACAGAGGAGGATATGTAAATTTACTATATAATTTGGCCTGAAAATATTTAAAGAACAATAACAGTACAAATGCGCCTTATTGATTTTGAACTTTAGTTCAACTATGGACCAAGTACAGAAGATCGTTACACTTGTAGGCATAATAATATTATTAGCAACCTTGAAAACATGATGTACAGCCAAGAGAAAATACAATTTTGGCCAGAGTAGGGGAAGAGGGGACAGGAATAAGGGGGAAAAATTTTTTTTAAGATTTTTTTTTTTTTTTTTTTGGTCAGAGGGAAAGAGAGGTAGGCAGAGGGAGAAACCGGCTCCCCGCTGAGCAAGGAGTCTGTCTGATGCAGAACTCAATCCCAGGATGCTGGTATCATGACCTGAGCTGAAGGCAGACGCTTAACCGACTGAGACACCCAGCTTTCCCAAGGAAAAAATATTAACAAAGGTTTAAATATATAAAAATTACAAAGGTAACAAGAGCAAACATAATGTGGTTAAGTATCAAACATGAGGAAAGGAAAATGAGGATGGCAATAGTGTGTGTTAAGTCCTAATTTTTCATCTCAAAGAATCAACACACAAACTGATAAATTTAATCAATCAAGTTGATAAATCAAGGATTAGAGGTATAAGCATACCTTCATAAAATTCTAAAATCTTATCAGAACTAAATAAAGAAAAAGAGTTAAAAAAGAAACTAACTAGACAGCATCACTGGAAATAAATGTACAAAACTTCTTATTCATCCTAAAATGCTATTATTTGATTTATTCCCACTTGGTTATAGTTCTTTATTTAAAAAATATTTTTGTAAGCAAAGTATGTTCATTTACTCTGGAATCCCATATCAAGTCTTTGTGGCTTCTGCTGTGCTGTCATTGACTGTTATCCTTGCTTCCTCTCTGATTCTGGCTTCTCACTTCATTACCGCTCTCTCTGAGGTTCGATTTGCCTTCACCACTCTCCTGTCTCTGTCTTAAGTCAAAACAGGTCTCCTTCATCCCGGGGCAAAGAAAAGTTTCACTCGACTGGAATACTCTCCATCACTGTTCTGTTTCTCTTCTTTCACTTTCCAAATTTCCAACTTTAAAAAAGCAATCTATTTCCCCTAAAACCTAGCTTCTAAACACTAAGTATAATGATGATTTTACAGTTCCCAATCTACATAATACCTTATCCAAGCAATTCACTTCATGAAGTCCTTCTGTTCAACCTTCTCTCCTAAGGCAAGGTAAGACTGAGGAAGGAGTAAGAATACCTCACAAGAAGTGTTCCAGAGAACATCTGCAGAAATGCTGGCAGGAAGCATTCCAGTTACAGTGCATGACTGCTTTGTTCAAGAATGTTTCATCTTCTGTCTTTTGGCACAGAGGACAAATTCCAAGTAAACAACTAAAAACAACCAACTTCTCAACAGACGTATTCTAAGACTTAGTAGTTATACTTATCTTTCCTTTCATAATCATATTAACATGTGAGAAGACTAATAATAGAATACAAGCCTGAGGAAACAGACAAAGAAGGTTAAGGAAACGTTCTAAAGATATTGAGTCCAAATACAATATCCCTATAGCAAATTTCAACATTCCCCACTAAAAACAGTAAATATCTTGCAAATTAAGAGAAAAGCAAGCCAGATAGAAAACTGTCCAAAAGCTAGTGAATTAACTAAGAAGATCCCAACTCTGAAAAATTACCATTTAGACAATATCCTGGTTTTCTTTTAAATATAAATCAATTAGAATATAATCAATATTGACTTTTAAGAGTGTATTAATTTGGGACTCCTGTGGGGCCCAGTTGGTTAAACGGCTGCCTTCAGCTCAGGTCATGATCCCAGCGTCCTGGGATCAAGTCCCACATCAGGTTCCTTGTTCAGCAGAGAGCCTGCTTCTCCCTCTGCCTCTGCCTGCCACTCTGTCTGCCTGTGCTCACTCTATCTGACAAATAAATAAAATCTTTAAAAAAAAAAAAAAAGAGTGTATTAATTTGTTGCTTTTGGCCATTCATGTCTACTTGTAAGAAAGAGAACACAACCTTGGTAAGATAATCAAATGGGAAAAATCCACATAAAGCATTAGTTTTGAGCCTCAAAGCTATTGAGAAAAGTAAAAAACTAACTAATGGAGTCCTATTTATGGAAAACTAGCTGATTTTATTATTATTATCAATACCAAACAAGTCTTTAAATCAATTAAAATTTATTTAATTAAGCATAAAGTTACCTTGACGTTTGTCTACAACCATAGTAAATACAGTTCTTGGCAAAAAGTTCTTTGGAGTTTAAAACATCCCCAACTGCAAGATGACATATATAAAACTCCCATTGTTTATGTGATAGTGGATTTGATAATCAAATTAATTATACTATCTAGAATAAAATAAAATGAAAATAATTTACTCATAAGATTCATATTTAAATCATCTTTATTTACAAAATACTATCCTGAGAGTTTTAATTCCATTAAGCTCTTATGTGAGCAAAAGTATAATAGGTTAAGTAACAGCCGTTACTTAAGCTGAAAATAAGAGAGAAGTCAAAATTACTTTTGAAGAGAGATCAAAAATATGGTTAAGTTTCTTGCTGTGGTGCTGGATTATCAGTAGTAGGCTCATTTGAAGGTGGAGTCAACCCTGATGGGAACTCACTTCTATTTTCAGCATGTGGGGGTGGGGGAAAAAATCCAGCTCTTGGGGGAAGATAATGAGGAAAAGCTCTCGGTGGATAGACATTTCTCACTGTTCAAAGAGATTGGTAAAAGACATTTTTTAACTTTAAGTACCTGTACTTCAGTTCTATTAAATGATTAGCTTATAACTTAAAATACCTAACTTCATATTCAAAAATTGACCCCAGAATAATTACTTGATCTAACAAATGAATTTTTACAACATTGAGTAAAAGCATACTCTCTTCAATTACACATGATTGAAGGGAACATCATTAACTTTAACCACAATTTTTGTCCTATGAAAACTTAACATCTTAACACTTTTCAAAAATTATTATTTCAAAAAACATAATAAAGCTTGATTAAAAATTTTCATGTCCTAAAATTTAAAAAAAAAAAAAATTTTCATGTCATATAATTTTCACCAGACGTAAAATTCTGACTAGTAATTTCTAATTCTAATTTTATACTATCCTAAAACATTTACAGTTAAAAGACTATCTTGAATTTCCCCAAAATTCATCTTAATTCACCTTAAACCTTAAAATAGAGGAGAAATGAGAGAAAAAATACCATGTCAGGCATATACTAGCCTTCCACCTAGTGTTTGGTTAACTATTTATTCTATAGAAACCTAGAGTTCTAAATGGCAATGTACAGATATAAAAGCAAAAAATTGTTTTTTTCTTATGTAAGGCTATGAAAGAATTTCAATAAATTCAACAATTAGTCTAAACATGATAAACATATTTTAGGTTTTAAATAAGTAGGACCGCATAGGAACTACTTATGAAAAAAACTTTTAAAAATACTTTAGCCAGTAATTTTAATGCTAAAATATAAGCTGTAATTATTTTTCTTAATTGATGCAGTAACCACTTTCTAATCAAATAAGATACAAATAATTTAAGTCTTAATTTAAGACTGCTACAAAAAAACAATGATTCTCCCAATTACTGAAATACAGAAATAATTCCATATCATTGGGATCAATCATGTGGAAGCCTCATTAAAGTCTACAAATGGCTGGCTGCCTTTCCAATTTGGAAAAGTAATGATATACTCACAGTGAGAAAAACTTACTATATGAATAAGAAGCAGAATTGTATCTTTGATTTAGTCTATAAAACACACACTAAGTTTAAAAAAAAAAAAAAAAAACGTACTTGCAAATGGAGGTGGCGGTGGGCCAGCAAAATCCCTTGGTGGAAAATAATCTCGAGGAGCTCCATACATGCTTCCTGGAGGAGGTGGAGGAAAAGGAGGACCTCTTCTCATGAATGGACCCCTTGGATCCATTGGAAATAATGGAGCCCTGAATGGAGCAAGAGGTGGAGGAACAAAGCCAGGGCCCGCTGCTTCACTTTTGGCGGGGAGAGATGAATCAGGCACATTTAAATTCTGTAACAAATTGACAAACAGCGGTCACTAAAACAACAGCAAAATTTGCAATAATCTTCCTGAAAAATCTTAGGTTTAGAAGAAAGCAGTCTATAATAATCTTAATAGTTTCTTCTGAAAGATTCTGTTTTCCACATCAGTTGGATTTTTGCGATCACAAATATTAACTGAAAAGAAAGTAATACTCTGGCTAAAGATAAAACACAAGAGTAGTCCAAGAGTACCAAAACATATATTCTTTTATCAAGTACATACTAAAAAACAGATGTTTATGTTTGTATTTTTTTTTTTTAAGATTTTATTTATTTATTTGAGAGAGAGAACATGAGAGGGGAGAAGGTCAGAGGGAGAAGCAGACTCCCCATGGAGCAGGGAGCCCGAAGCAGGACTCGATCCCAGGACTCCAGGATCATGACCTGAGCCCAAGGCAGTTGCTTAACCAACTGAGCCACCCAGGTGCCCTATGTTTGTATTTTCAACATAAAAAAGGTGACCAAAAGCAAAAATTGTAAAGGTAATAACAAAAATATACTTTAAAACCTTCAAATAAAAATAGAAGGAGGAAATCCAAATTCCTGTTTAACTTTAGTAAACTAACTCAAGCCTTTAGTCTATAAGTTGTACTGTATCACCGTAGTGTACAATCCAGAAAAGAAACAACTATAATGCAATATAGGGAGTGTATATATTTGTCAAAATGGGAGAAGCAGCTTTATATCAAGAAATAGATTGCCAGCCAAATTTCTCTTCTAATAAACCAAGAGTCTGGAAAGCTCCTGAACACATGGATAAAATTCCACTTTCAATACTTACACCAAGGTCATCTTTGTTATCATTTCTACTGGATTCCATTTCTGAAGACACTGGTCCATCTAAACATAAAAGTTAAACCATGAAAAATATATGACTGATCACTCCATTCCTACCGTATCTCCCAATCACAAGGGATTGTTGATATTTTCTCATTCTCCCATTAGTACATAAACCAGCCCGATACCAGCATCCTGCATTGCGGCCGCAGGAACAGCTTTAGGTCACTGGAAACTGTGGCACACTCAAAAGTTCTGCAAAGGCAGGTGGCAGGAATTTCTGTGGCTCGTTCCTAGGCAACCCTGATGCAAGCGCATCATTAGGAGACTTCTGGAAGGTGGCATCCCTCTCCCTTTTCCTTCTTTCCTTCCTTTCTTTTCGCCCTCCCTCCATTCTTCCTTCCTTTTCCTCTTTCCTTCCTACTTTCCTAATTCCTCCATCAGGTAACATAGACTAGCATTTGAATTTAGCTACTGTTCAAAATAAATGTTCCTGGACTTTGTTTTCACCAAGAACTGCTCGGTCCATGAGAAGGTAAATTCAAACAACCCCCTCTCTGACCACAACACTTATCCTCACCTAGCCTTCTCATTTAGTTGTTCTCACTACACCTGTTCCTGTCACTGAAGCTTCCAGTCCTCTGGTCTCCCTCCATTTTCTTTAGTTTCCTCCTCTCTTCATTTCCACCCCTAATTAACTAGACTTCTAAGTCCATCACTTCATCCAATCATCGATGTCCTTACCCAGTTGGCAATATTTTGACATGTACATGACAATATTCTAGCTCTATATTAATCCAACTCTCCACTTTCACTCTACCTATACCTGCAATTCAGCACTTCTGCAGGTAAAACAAATCACAGATTTGTGTAGACAGAGCCTACTCCAAGCTGATGGATTTCCAGCCATACTTGCAGCTGCTCACTGACTAATCGTTCTGCATCTTCCAAACCACATTTCTCCTCAGCAATTTTAAATCTCCATTATCTTCAAACCTACTACACCAGTCACTTAGAAACTCCCTTAACTTTCTGTAAGCAAACAAATCTATCAGCAACCAAATTCCTATGATTTTTCCTCCTCTTATCATGAGAAGTCTCCTTCTAGATGATCTATGACCCTGATTCTATGCTCTGAATCTCTCCCCTTCCTCTCTTTTGCCTCCCTCTTCCCTTTCTGCTAGACCCATTCTATCAGCAAGTCTCTTCCAACGACTACTTAAAAATGAGACAGAAAAAGAAAATTCCCCTACAGCTACCCCTCTCTTCTGTAATCAATACTTGTTCTATATATATTGTTTGGAATTCCTCTCATTTTGTCCTCATTTTACTGCAATCTATTTGCAACATCCACTACTCCACTGAAATTATTTTCCCCAACATCAAAAAAAAATATTTTTTTGCTAAACTAAAAGACACTTTTAGTCCTTATTTTATATTATTTCTCACCGTTATTGACCACTCTCTCTCTCTCTTTAAATCCTTTCAGCCTTCAATTTTTGTGATGGCACCCTTCTCTATCTTCCCTTGCTAGCCACTCCTTCTCAGTCTCTTTGGTGGGCTTCACTATCCTTAAATGATGGTCTCCATGGAGTTCCACCTCAGCCCCATGCTCCTTTCATTCTCCCTTTGAGAAATCCCATCCACCCCTACACCTTTAATTTGATGTATACCAACTAATGACTTCCAGATGTGTGATTCAGATTGTTATTCCCCCTACTAGGACTTCAAAGCTTGAACTGCCTCTTTGAATATTCATGCAGGTGTATCACAGGTGCTGCTAATTTTATAAGTTCAAAATGTAACTTATAATCTTTCCTGTCAAATTTGCTCCTGTTCCTTGTTCTTTGTCTCAGAACGATGAATGGCCCAGATGCCATAGCCGGGAATCTAGGCATCAGCCAAGACTCCTCCTTCCCCCACACTCCCACATGCTTTCAATCCTAAATCCTCCCAATTCTCTTTTCTCTATGTCTGCTTACATCTATGTATCCCTATCCCCTCTGCTAAATCACTACCCTCTTACTGACGTAGATTCCTGTCACAGACTCCTAAAAAGTTACCGTGCTTCCAATCTTAACTGCTTCCTCCAATCTATTCACCATAACGCATCCACAGTAATTTATCTAAAATGAAGATCTGATTATTTCTTTAATGTGTTCCCATTACCCTGTGAACAAGGTCCAAGTTTTGAACAGGTTTGCAAGGCCCTGAGAACTCTATGTACTGCTTAACCTTTTCACTACTTGTTTAAACATTCCCTGACTCACACTCCATGTTGCAGCCATAATTTATTACGACTTTGTAAGTCTTAATCTTTAAAGGTGCTATTCTTTTCTTCTAGAGCATTACTGCCTGATGGATATATAAGAAAGATATAGATATGATATAGATATATGAAAGATATATATATATCTATATATAGATAGATATAGATATATATTTATTTATTTCTCCACATTTAATTACTAGCTTCTTATAGGCAGAAACTATACCTTATTATAATTATATTCTCTACTATGTCACATAGGGCACCTTCTAAACAGTAGACACTTAAAAATTATCTAATTGGATAATTAGATATCAACAACAAAAAAGGACATGTAAGAAATGTTAAATAGCATTAGTTTAAAAATAGACATTCAATCACATATACACTGTCACCCCATAAAGTTTGAATTAATAGGGGAAAACAATTTCAAAATCCAAAATCCAAAGGTTAGAAAGAAATTATTTAATTAAAACTAATTATAATTAATCTAGGCCATAGATCTCCTTCTCTGCTTACTATTTGAAAAAGACTCCTTTTCTAAAATAATAAATATTTCAGCGAAATAATGCCTAACCCCACCTTGCAATGTATACCCTGTCCTGAAGAAACCTTTTACCAATAAATTTATTTTAAGTTTCTATTTGTTTTTAATCGTTTTAATGTTACACTCTTCTGATTAATACACTGGATATATATATTTCCCAATTTTAGAGGGTTGCTGTGAGGTGGTTTAAGGAAAAGAGTGCCTGACAAATAGTAGGTTGCTCAATAAATGTTAGTTACATCTATCTTCGTATGTAATGTTTAAATAAGGTACTTGATTAAAGCAACAACAAAGCAAATTATTTTTCTTGTGGATTTTCACATGTCCATTCACACTAGCTTAACTTCCCTGATTACCAAGTAGGATATATGTAAGTGGACGGGAAAAATTTTAAAAATTAATCATGGAATAGAGTAAAATCGGACATTATAGCTAAATATAGTAAACCCATTGCAGTAATACCCAAATCAACCATTAACACATATGCAAATGCCATGGATACATACAATATAATAAGAAACATAAAACTAGAAAGTTTCAGGAAAGATTTTGGCATCAAGAGCTACCAAAGATGTCCAGTTATTAGTCCTTTTTTCAGCTTCCAATTCTTTCATGTGCCACCATTATTAAAAAATATACACATACAAAGAAGTATTTCTTACCCACTTTATCCAAAGACGGCATATTAACACTTCTGAGTTCTGCTGGCCCAGAGAGTCTGCCAGAATTAGAATAAAATCTGTCTTGCCTTTGTGGAAGAAGAGCTGGATCAGGATATGGTTGGCCTAGAAAACAAGTTTGTAAAATATTTTCATTAGTATAAAAATAAATCAAATTTATTTAAGTTTAATAGATAGAATATAGACATTTCTCTTGCTTCCTAAAAAACTGAACCATATTCTTGGTAGACAATAGTAAATAATTTGAAGAAATAGCAAAGAAAGAAAAAAAAGGAATATGTTGTAAGTGTATCAGGAAATTCAGCAAAACAGACACTGATAAAAGAAGTAGTTAACAAAGCAGATATCATTCGGAGGTCATCAATGATCAAATTTTCAGTAACTTCAGTATTTTGGCAGTTAGCACCCCTCCAAAACTAAAGGGTAAGATCTTTCGCTCAACAGATGAACAGAAGGTTCACAATGCTCAGATTAAGGACTCCTGGACAGACACAAATCTGGGCACAGACTGTGACTCAGGTGCTTCTGCAACCACCCTTCATTGTCCCCAAGGGTCACTTACAATGACAAAACTGTCATTCCTGGGTACTTGTAGAACTCATCATTCTTGAAAAAAATAAAGGTAGTCTATCTCATATTTGACCGGTGATGGCAGATTTTGACAAATTAGTTATGCATATGCCCAACTCCAAAAGTAAGAGGAAAGTCAAAGGGGGTGAACTGTGTGGCTCTTTCTTAACCATAGAAATATGGAAAAACAGCTGCAAACTGCTTTCCATGACTGTCCTAAGCAGTGGTGCATAATGTGAACTCCACACATTGTTGGATATGTCATTCCTCATCTGACTCACCCAGATGGGACCTTACTGACACACCTCCCCCACACAAAGCCAAGGAAACCACTCAGCATCAACCAGAGTTAATGGAAAGAATTATATTTGATGAGCTCCCAAGGGCCCAGGGATGTGAATCAGGAAAGAAAGATCTGGGTGGATAGCCTCAGGCTCATTTCCTCCCTCCTCCAGAATCTTAACAAAAAACTGTCTCAATCGGTCTGAATTATTAGCCCAATTAAAGGAAGACCAATACCAATGACTGAGATCTAAACTAAGTTTTCCCTTTCTACTTCAAAAATGGGATTAATTAAATGGCAGAGCTGGGCAAGTGAATAAAACGGGGAAGCCTGAAAACTTCCCAACTCTTTCTTAAGCAAGTCTCAAGATACCATACAGTATCATTATTTTGCTTCTAAAATACATCCCCACAATTATCAGCAACCTCAGAAATACAAAATCAAAAAGAAATAAAAAATTTTGCTACAAGCTTGCTATTTTATAAATCATATACCCATGGTGCCTTCCACTGGACAAAATAATTTATTCCTGAAATCTACCAGGGCTTAATGTATACATGGCACTACTGATATAAAGTTGATTTTTATACAGTCCACACTTTATAGTCTAATAGTGACAGAAATAAATACAATGTGGCCAATGCCTTACTAAAGAGGTATACAAATTATGAGTGGTGGCCTACTAAATTCTGACTGGAGGAATCAGAAATCGTGGTGTTATGGAGGACGTAAAGCTCGCCCTGAGAGAAAAGAAAGGGTGAACAAGTAAACAAGGGTATTCTGATCAAACTCAGATACACACACCACACATGATGTAACAAGATAAAGCTATGTGGAAGGCACATGACCAATGAGACTGAAATACAGAAAATAAAGACAAATGGTTCCTTGTTTGATTGCTTTCATACCTTTGTTTTCTACCATCCTTATAAGAGAAGACATGATTAAAAAGAAAGAATGGGAGAGGGAAAAGATTGGGGGAAAAAATGAATAAAGGCTGCAAATAAGTGTACATAGCATTCTGAGGCAGTATCATAAACTAAGAATTAGAATAAAATCCAAAATGCCTGAGTTAAACAAAAATATTATTTATCTCTTTTCATTCCATAACAAATGGACTGTAATAGCTCTCTGAGTACCTATTTTTAATAATTCTGGATTCTATCACACAACAGAAACAAAAGAGAATTATAAAGATGGATAAAGAATTAGAATTTTTTAGGATTAATACTGGCTAATAATCAAGTACAATAAACATCTTCCTTCACAACATCGTGAAATAGTTAATTCTAATAATTAAGGAATTTAAATGGAATGAAAAAGCAAAATTTCCAGAAAGTAGATGAAAGCATCATGGATACAGATAGGTTAGGATTCTGCAATAAAGAGACCAATGGTATAGAAAGAATGCCTGAGAAACAGATGTATGCAAATATGGACATCTAAGATAAAGTGGTATTTCAAACTGATGAACCAATATGCAGTATTGAAATAACTGTGTATTCAATGAAGGGAGGACTCCTCACACGAAACACTGAAACAGAAATAAAATCCAGATCTAAAACTTACAACAAAATTTTAAGTTTTTAGAAGAAAACAGAATATCATTTTGATTTAGGAACAGGTCTTTTTATTTTTATTTTTTTTAAAGATTTTATTTATTTGACAGAGAGAGATCACAAGTAGCCAGAGAGGCAGGAAGAGAGAGAGGGAAGCAGGGTTCCCTGCTGAGCAGAGAGCCAGATGTGGGGCTTGATCCCAAGACCCTGAGATCACGACCGGAGCCAAAGGCAGAGGCTTTAACCCACTGAGCCACCCAGGCGCCCCCTAGGAACAGGTCTTAAACAAAACAAAAATTCTACTAAAAATAGATTAACTTACCTATAACAAAATTTGGAACATATATAACAAGAACATGCATAATAACAAATTGAGAAAATCTCTGCAAAAGACAAGATTAATATCCAAAATATACTAAGAATTCTTATTGGGGCACCTGGGTGGCACATTCAGTTGAGCATCTGACTCTTGGTTTTGGCTCAGGTCATGATCTCAGGGTCATGAGATGGAGCCCCACACGGAGCTTGGCACTCAGAGTAGAATCTGCTTATCCCTCTCCCTCCCCTTCTGCCCCTCACGCCACATTCTCTCTTTCTCTCTCTAATAAATAAATAAACAAAATCTTAAGAAAAAAAAGAATTCCTATTAAGCAAGAAATAAAATGGGTCAGGCAATTTACAGTAAATAAATATAGATAAATTACCAATAAACAAGAAAAGATACTCAAGCTCACTAATCAAAGAACTATACATAAAAATAAGATAAAAATTTTACCTCATATCACCGGAGATAATTCAAAACAGTTTTACAACTGTTTTATAGAAATAACTACTGTAGTTAGTCTGTAGAAATAACTACTGTAGAAATCAAGTACTGTAGAAATAACTACTCTCAAATATTTCATGCACAGCCACTCTTGAGGACAATATGACAGTATCTAATAACCTAAAAAATATGCTAAATATGCTTATCCTATTACTCAGCAATTTCATTTCTTGGACTCATCTCTAAAGAACATATATGCGAGGGGTGTTAACTTCAGCACTGTTAGTAATAGTAAAACACTGGAAACATCCTAAATGTTCAACAGAGGATAGTGGATAAATACATTGTGGTATGTTTATATACAGAATTATTATATAGCAATAGAGGTAATAAACTTTATATTAAAATGGAAAGAACTCAAGAACATGATGCTGATTAAAAAACTTGATAAAAGAGAAAAGTTATATATATGTTTATATATTTTTTAAAATTATATATGGATCTAAGTTTACACACACTGGCCTCATGAGTAGTCACCTCTGGGAAGGAAGGATGCTAACAGGCCCAGTAAAGGAAAGGAAATAGAATAGAGTTCAACTAATATATATAGTGTGCTACTTTTTCCCTTTTCTTTTTTTTTTTTTTTAGACTTTATTTATTTATTTGACACACAGAGAGAGAGAGAGAGAGAGAGAGATCACAAGTAAGCAGAGAGGCAGGCAGAGAGAGAGGAGGAAGCAGGCTCCCCGCTGAGCAAGTAGCTTGATGTGGGACTTGATCCCAGGACCCTGAGATCATGACCTGAGCTGAAGGCAGAGGCTTAACCCACTGAGCCACCCAGGCGTCCCCCTTTTCTTGGTCAAAAGATAGAAATTTCCAGTTATAAATAAGTACTAAGGATATAATATATGGTACGATGACTATCGCTAATGCTGCTGTATGACACACAGGAAAGCTGTTAAGAGAGATCCTAGAATTCTCATCACAAGGAAAACGTGTACGTTTTTTTTGGTACCTATATGAGATGATGGATGTTAACTAAACTAATTGTGGTAATAATTTCACAATATATATATAAAGGCAAATCATTATGTTGTACACAAACTTAAACAGTGATGTTTATTGATTATAGCTCAATAAAACTGGAAAAACATTAAAAATTTAAAAGTAATGTAACAAATACCTGAAGACTCTGAGCATTAAAAAATAGACAGATTTGGTAAAAGGGTGGGAACTTGGAAGAAGGTACCACTGTGGGGTGAGTTTTCCATTTTTTTTTTATATCTTAGCCTGAAGGCACACCACAGTCAACCTGTAGCAGAGTCAAACCTCATAGAAAATGCGGCTTGAAAAACCAAAGAAGAGAGTCCAGGAGAGCCAAAGAAGTGAGTCTAAGATTCTGAGATTTTTGCGCCAAGTCAATGGCTAACCCCTGAACCACAAATGAATGAAGAAAGCTTAAAGCATTTTCAGCCACGTCTAAAACTAAGCATTTTTAGCTAAGTCTAAAAACTGAACTGATATTTGGAGGAGGAGTCAAGTTGGCGGAGAAGTAGCAGGCTGAGACTACTTCAGGTAGCGGGAGATCAGCTAGATAGCTTATCTAAAGATTGCAAATACCTACAAATCCAACGGGAGATCGAAGAGAAGAACAGCAATTCTAGAAACAAAAAATCAACCACTTTCTGAAAGGTAGGACTGGCGGAGAAGTGAATCCAAAGCGACGGGAAGATAGACCGCGGGGGGAGGGGCCGGCTCCCGGCAAGCGGCGGAGCAACGGAGCACAAAATCAGGACTTTTAAAAGTCTGTTCCGCTGAGGGACATCGCTCCAGAGGCTTAACCGGGGTGAAGCGCACGCGGGGTCAGCGTGGCCTCAGGTCCTGCAGGGTCGCAGAAGGATCGGGGGTGTCTGAGTGTCGCAGAGCT